GCAGGGCGGCCCCGAGCTCAGCTGTGGGTTGCATGTTAGGTTAAACTAGATGGCAGTCGCTCCCTCATCATCCCTCCGCCTCTGCATGTCTCATCTGAACAAGGTGCAGCGGAAAGTCAAGACTTGAACATCGGTGGCTTCTGCATCGTTGGTAGCTACTTCCCAGTTGCAGGCAGCCCTGTCATTGGTTTTTGCGGGATCAGTCAGAGACTGCGCAGAAGCACGTGTCGCATCGTGGTATATTGCAGCATATCAAAAACCATGAAGGCATTCGTCCTAATTCGTTGACGAGAGGCTATGCAAACCTGGACTTCCTCCTGCCTGCACGATCTTTTTCGAGGTGCTGCAGTCGCAAGCACTCACTAACTGGTGCTTGCACTTCCCGTGCAGGCTCGGTGCGCCACCGCCAGTTCCCGGATTTTCATGGCCAGGGTCACTTGCTCCGCTTCAAAGCGAGGACCTCGATCTAAACAGCTTTATCTACCACCGCCCTGGTCGCATTCTGCTGCGAGGCATTGCATGTTCGGAAACGCCGGTGTTGCCTCTTCGAAAGGTGCTACTGTTCTGTGGCTTGCCGGGGCTGGTAGCTGCCATTGTAGCTATGTGACCTGCGGAAAGGTGCAGGCAGGACTACTACTTCTTGTGCTCGATCCTGTCCATCTTGGTGTACCAGCAGCGCCAAGAAGCTCTTGCAGGCAGTTCCAAACTGGAGCCTTCTCTTGATCGCAGAGCTTGCTTGCGAGCCGATGCAAGCGAATTCAGGCCAGGTGCTTCTGCGTTTGTATTGGCCGGAGCCCAAGTTGGAAGAGACTTCCTGATCAAAATGTTGTTGACTGGACGAGGCCTTGCCGAGCACGGACCCGCTGATGCTGCTGCACAGCCCTGCAAGGCACAGCTCTGAATCGCTGGACCCATGTCACAAGTCCCCTTGCCACGGGCTTCCTAGGGGGCAAGGTCGGCACCATCTAGAAGTCCTTCCGGGAGGTAATACAACTGGGCCTCGGATGGTCAAAAAAAACCCGAGCGGCAAAGCCCGAAGCCTCCTGATCCGCCCTTGACGCCACTTTGACTTCAGCGGTTTCAAGTCTGGCTTCTGATCGCGTCGGTTTAAGGGGCATGGTACGGGCCAGAAAGCATTTTTGCAGCTGCGGGTTTCATCTAGTCTAGGGTTCGTGCCAAGACTCGGCTCGTTGCGTCTGCCCCCAGGCTCGAAATACTTCTTCCGGTCATGGCCCGGAGCTCGGAGATTGTCGAGAAAAACTCGAGGAAGAGTCGCTGAGCGACACTGCTCTGAGGATTTTGCAGCTGTTGGCTTTCTTCTGCTGCTCAAGAGCCCCGCTTGACTAGAGCCTGTGACTGAGAGATCGCCATCCTCACATGTCTTTCAGTCCATCCGACTCTGCTCAGGCTGCCGGTAGTTCCTTCAGGATGCTCTCGATCTGATTTTCCAGTGAGTGTCCCTTGGCCTAGCTCGTTCGAAGTTCACCTTCTCCGAATCCAACCTAGCCTCCATCTGTAGGTGCTGGGAAGTCTGCAGCTTGACTTCACTCCGATATCACGCAGCTCTGCACACCTAGACTTTCAAGTCCCTGCGTCCGGGCCTGACATGTTCTGCAGCCTCTTGACACCGAATGTCTTTTGCGACAGAGGCTGGACTTCTTGCATCCTGGTTCGCTCCCGCTTCCTCGAAGCTTCACAAAGCCTGGCGTGCCAATCTCTGTGCTGGTGCCTCAGGATGAAAAGCTGTCGCGTTGGCTGGGTTGCATTCTCCATGCTCACCCAGCGTTGTCCCATAAAGGACTTCGTCTTCGGAGCAAGTTTTTTCGAATTCTCAGCATGACGCTCATGGACTGATGTCGGTCATCGTCAGGCAAGCTCGCGCTGCATGCGGGAGCATCATGCCCATCAGTCACACTGCTCCGGTTGGATTCGTGCGGGGTACGGAGCCTTCGCTGGTGCCCCCGTAAGCCGCAGAGGTAGCATCATGAGCATCATTGTAACACACGTGTGTGTGTAGGTACAAGCTCTAGCGGTCGAGCCCCGAAGCATTTTCGGCTCGACCGTTTTGAACTTCCCCTCTCTCTCCTTTCGCCCCTCAGCGGATATGGCTGCGCCTTCCTCTTCGCCGGGCGCCTTGGTCGACACCGTGGTCGCTGACCTGGTGGCGCCGCCACCTTCGACGACCTCGGCGCCTACGGCATCTTTGGTTGGGGCTTCGCCCTCGCCGGGCGAGATTGGAGAGAATGCCGGTCAGCCCGCGTCGGGCGCGCCGGCTGGGGATTTCGCCGGGTCGCCCTCGATGGGCGCTGCGGCCCTGGTCGAGACCGCAAGTGCTGAAGATGACGTGGCACCGCCTTTCATGGGCGTCCCGCCTTCCAGCGGCGACGAGGAAGAGCTTCTGGCTGATCGCGCCGGGGCTCCACTCCTGGGCGTGGACCTGGTCGACGCCGGGGCCCAGACGGAGCACTTCGCGCCGATCCTCGCCTTTGACGCCCACGACGTTGCCGTCCAGACGACAGGGGAGGTCTTCTTCTCCTCCTTCGTGGGCGACAGCACGCAGGAGGCCTTGGCGACGGCTATTCGTGCCCTGTCGCCTGGTGACCGATCGCGCGTCGCGCCTCGTCGGGGCGCTCCGGCTGGCGCCCCCGTAAGCCGCAGAGGTAGCATCATGAGCATCATCGGGTGTCCACACCGGCATGGTCGACACTTTGTATTGAATGGGTTCTGCCAGAGAGCGGATGCATCACTGCAAGCCTTGAGGGTTGAGGGTGCATGATTTTTCGAGGTCCAAGCGTGCACAGCTGGAAAGCCCACTCTTCGTTTTTGATATGGTGAATTCAGGCGGACACATGCACATGTACTTCAGGGTTGATGCCTTTTACATGGCTCTTCGGGAGGTGCGACGTTGGCCATCCGCGGCGCGCTGAAGCAGACAAGCTTGGACCTCGTGGGCTTTGGCTCAAAGCCAGACGCGTAAGACCTGCACCACAAGAGCCCAGGCCTCGACGTGGCCGGTTTCGGCATCGTCGGGAGCTATTTTTCAGTCACGGGCCTCGCCCTGAGACATTTTCCCCACAGTTTCTTCATTGAATGCCATTTACACGTCTCAGCACGGGAGCTACTTCCTCGGCTCATAAGCCGGCATAAGCAGCAGTTGTGAAAAAATTGCTTAAGTGGCTTTTTCGAGAATTCGTTTTCAGCTTGAATAGCGGTGTTGGCAGGAGGTTTACTGAACATGATATCTGCCAGATTGAATTTCCAAACTTCCTCGGTTGATGCCGGGCCTGCATTTGGTGGAGGCAACTCGGGGGGCGGGGCTGGATTGCACGTTTCACGGGCTTCTGTGGTTTTGGGGTGGGGCGGGGGCGGGCGGGGGTGGGGTAGATGGATACTTCAGCAGCCGAGTTTTGTGGTAAAAGCTGAGCACTGAGTAGTTGTCGAATTTGATCAGCGGCTGCCTCCTCCGCAGCTGCTTGCGCAGTGTATCCGATGTCAGGATACTCACGTTATTGGAGGTGTATGTCATGGAAAGTCACATGATCAGTGGCATGTGGGCAGGCGTACAGACTACAATAAGCGTTAAGTGGTGTCATGTGTTACACTGTGTCACTTCCGTAGAGACTGTGGACTTCGAGTCCTCTTCTGGTCGTTAAACCCGCCAGCAGGGCAGACACACTATTACATCTGGTGTAAGCTGAATGGTCTTGCAGGCTACGGGCCTGTGATATAAAGCTTGAAAATACTAGGATTTGCTGCTTTTGAGTTGTGGGTGAGTCTGTTAAGTGAAGCCTGCTAAGATGTGCGATAGTTGCCTCTGAATTGTGGGTGGGTCCGTGAAATAACACCTTCTAAGGTGTGCGACTCTGTGCGGGCCCATGGCATGATGCATGCCAAGATGTAGGATTTGTTGCCTGTTGTAACTATCTCTAACTTGTGCGTCGGTCTGCGAAGTAAGTGCCCCCGCGAAGAGAATCCGCTGAGCTTTCGTTGTCCAGGGCCCACTTCTCAAATCCAGGTAGGCATCCATAGCAATGCTGCGCAACATGAATTCTATATCGCACCAAGGCCGTCTCAGGCTGCCAGACCAAACCTTACAGGGCCAATAAGTGTCTATACGGCAAGCCCGTAGTTAGACTCGAAGGGGCAATGCTGCATTGGATTGTAATTAACATCCTAAGCCTGAACCGGCACAAGAGGCACCTCACCACAGCGGGGGTGCATATCATGTGTAAACAATGGGACAAGACACACCCCTCCACAGCGGTAGTTGTTTGCGCGTCTGTCTCGCGTGCATAAGGAGACAGGAGGCGTGCGCGCGCGCGCGCGCCTACAGGAACATTAACCATTTCTCTGGACTGCGAGTGCGAGAACCCAATAGTTTGTAGCACGTGCAGAATCAGAGTTAAACTGGCGACTTCGACAGCAGCTGAGGCTACACGCAGATGGGTCCATCAGTATTGCCACAATCTCTTGCGAGGTCTGGGAGAGTAACCGCTTTCTGGTGAGATGCTCGGGACGACTGCACTTTGGCCTTGTCAGGTTTGGCTCCTTTCTGCTTGCCTTATGCTCTCTTCGCCTTGGATTCTTTGTGGTGTTGCAGAGCTCTGCTTGCCTCGGCCAGGGTCTCAGGGTCTCAGAAAAGGGTTTAGGGGATCCCAGGAGCAGCAGCTCGCCGCTTCGTTGCTCTTGCCAGGCTCACCTCCGTCGGCTCTCTTCGCATCGCACTTGGGAACATCTTTGCCGCCCAAGAGGCAAGAAGCCCGCGAGCGGTCTCTGAGCAGAAGCTTGCGAGAGCTTGCGAGCTTCGGTACCTCAGGATGCATCGACCAGGGGCGCCAGTGGTTGCTGCTGGTATAGCCTGGATGGGACTTCCCACGCCTGTACTGGATCCCCTGTAGCGGAAGCCTCAGCCGCGCCGCTTCCGTGAATCTGGCCGTAGCCGTGACGATTGCTTTGTGCAGTCTCGGATCTCCCTTGCCCTTGCGATCTCTCGCCCACGTCGAAGCTGCCTCGCCGGCTGGAAGCCCAGCCTCGAGCTGCCTCTTCTAGCTGCTCCTTGCAGCGCAGCGCCTGAGCCTCTCTGCAAAAAAGAAATCTGCGTGGCGCTTCGCATCGCTTCGCATCGCTTCGCATCGCTTCGCATCGCTTCGCATCGCTTCGCTGCGCTTCGCATCGCTTCGCTGCGCTTCGCTTCGAGGCTTCGGGATTTGCTTCTCTGTCATCTTCCTCGTCCACTCGCAGCCTCGCGCGAATGGGGTCTTGTCCTTGGTGTTGCAGCCTTCGACCAGTGCAAGAGCCGCGATATGCTCATGGGCCGCGGTACAAAGGTCAGCCCAGCTTCTGATGGGCAAGCTACGATCGGAATCGCCAGCATCTGCAGAGAGCTCGGGTAGACTGGATCATGAGGCATAGGCCCCGTTCCTGAAACTGTTCAGCTCAGGTTCCTGGTCATGCACTTCCTGAGCCTCCTCTCCTTCTCCGCAGCTCTGCACGGCCGGTCTTCAGCTGAATCTTCAGCAGCGCCTTTCTGCTCGTGCCAGCAATCAGGTTGGGCCTGCAGCTGCCTGTCCACCACCTTTTCTCTCTCGGTTCGCTGATGCTCCTTCGATGCCAGATGCCCTGCTCGCAATCCGTTCGGGCGACCAAAGCCGGCAGCATACGTGCTCTTGTGGAGGTTCCGCCTGACCTGGTCTGCTCGTTTCTGCACCGGGTGAAGCATGTCTGGAGCGCGGGCCCCTGCGCATCCAGAGGGTTTCGACTCACAACTTGTGCCCATTTGGGAGCTGTGAAAAGATAGTGTCGTTGTGACTTTACTCCCCAATCTCAGATCTTACATGTTTTTTTCCTGTACCTGAATACGTACCGTCGCCTTCTGTTGAAGCCTGTCCTAAGGCTGGTAGCTTCTGTCCTGGGCCTTGCCCAGTTGGAGCCGTTGACGGCGTCGGACTCCCTGCCCCGAGTGCTGTGCAGCCGTGCAAGCCCGCACTCGTTCCAGTCTCGGTTGCCCGTTGTGGAAGGTCGCGTGGCCCTGGACAGCTGGGCCTGCCTTTGCCCGCATTGAAATCTGCGCATGCAGGCCCCGTGAGAATCCACTCTCGCTTTTGTGGAGCGATCTTGTCCCGCTCCGGCGAGGCCTTTTGCCTTCACCGAGGTGCACTCAGCTGGGAGCGTTTGTTACCTGTCAGTGATCGCGACGCGCACGTGACCATGCCACATGCCGCAAATCATTGAATCCATTCGCAGGTCCCGTGCTTGACTTGAAGTGCCACTGTTTACAGCGGGCCCGGGCAGAACCGAACTGTTGCTGTTGGCATCGGATTCGGCCCATTTAGGCAGCGAGCTCAGCACGGGCAACCGCTGATGTTTTGCCTTGTTGTGCATGGCACACGCGCTGCCGAGGCTTCTCCTCGTTTACCAGAGCCTTTTCCCATACGGGAAGTGTGGCCAGTGCAGCTGGCGTTGTTCGAATCGGCGGGCCTTGCGCCCGGCAGGCGAATGTGAGGTGGCAAGTTGTGCTTTTTTGCTGCATTTGGCTTTCACCCGTGTCCTCATTTCGTGCTGCTTGAGGCAACAACTACCAGTCTGTGGTGCCTTGCAGACTGGCGCACCTTTGTCGCTGCGGTCACTCGCGTGCAGCTGACTTAGAAGGCCGCTGCTTGCATGCTACGCCTGTACCCGGGAACTGAAGAAACGACAAGGGCCGCAGACTCGCAGTTGCTGGGACTGGGGGTCCGGACTGGTCCCGTGATCACACCATATCACGCTTCTGCAGTAGCCCTCTCCTTTGTCGGCTGAGGCCTGGCCTTTGCGGCGGCTGTGTTGGGATTTGGACACTTGGACGTCTTGCTGCTGCTGCAATCGCTTTCCTGTGGCTGCCTTAAAGGCTGCAAGACATTTGTCGTCTTGCAGAAGTTCGCCATTCTGGGACTTCGCTGCAGCTGTCACCTGCAAGGCCTCGAGCTGGCAGCTTCGACACTGGATTTCGCACATCCCGGCTTCACACTTTCAATGCAAGGCGCCAGCTCTAGTGCATCTCGTTAGAGCATCACTGGGGGGCCCTTGGGCCTTCACAGCCTTTCGACGTCTTTGGACTATAGGCTTTGCCTGATGCGATTCGCCTATTTCCGCCTCCAGCAAGGCTGGCGTGCTGCATTTTGCCATGGTGACTCTGCCTCGTGTCAACTTGCACTTGCACGCAGCCCGGAAACAGGTGCACTTCACGTACACCAACACTTACATCACGTCGGAAGTCTCCAGCACCAACCAACTGCAGTTTTATGCCGGATGCTTGGTACTAGCACCGCCCAGTTGCCATGAACACTTCGTGAGGTCAACAACCAGCGGTCCTTGAGCTTAATGCAGAAGCCCACGGGTCCTACAACGGGCAACGTTGGCGGAGCCCTGCACGGTCTCTGGCAGCTTAGACGGATTGGCAACAAGGGCTGACCCAAGCTGAAACGCATTGGGTGAACAAAGGTATTCCGACCACATGTTGCATATCTCCGATCGCCGACTGAAGAAGAGTATCCACCCCCTGGTCATGGCCTTGGCTCCTTTTTGCACGTGCTGACAGCTGGAACCTCTTTCTCCAGGCCACGGGCCTAGACGAGAGGGCATCCGCCGCAGGCACCGTGGCTCGCAACGGCGCATCTTCGCGAAGAGTGATTTCAGCCAGCTTGGCTTGGTCACAGGAGTTGTCGCCAGTGACGGTCAAGGAGCTGTCAGCTTCCGAGAGTGAGGTCTGGTCTACTTTAATAGATATTACCAGTTATTGGACCAGCCCGAGGTGTGGATCTTGCGGCAGCTGCGACCAGTGTCCTATTATTTCACGCTGCAACCTCGGAATGTTGTTTGGATGCAGAGCAGAGCTGACTCATCGAGGCGTGATGCCGAAGCCAAGCATCCACGCTTTGGCTTCATCGCTGATGAAGTTGCCGAAACCCTGCCAGAGGCTGCACGGTGCTCCTGCGAGGGCCCGAAGCGAGCCTGCGTGAGCCTGCGGTAAGTGGAGGTTATTCAGGAGTCCTCCGACGAACGAAAGATCAAAGGCATAGCTTACCAGGACAGCTGGCGCAGGGATTAGTTTCCGAGGGTGAGCCCGGCCGAACATGCAAGCTGTCAGGACCTCATCGCAGTCATGGTTGCTGGTGTTCAGCCCCGTGCTCAGTGTCTGACATCCTGCAAGGCTGCTCTTTTCACCGAGTCTTTCGGAGGTCGCTGACCTCCCGGCTCGAGCAAACAGAAGGCGTGTCACGCACGCTCTCGGCTCGGCCGATGCCCCAGGGAGAGCTCAGCAAGGCTCAGCAGGTCGAACGTGTCACTCCGCCCAAGGCTCGCAGCTCTGGAGTCCAGCTTCCTGCAGTGGAAGGCACCGGTCTGGGTCTGGGGGCAGTCTCTCTGCGAGACTTTGTGATCTGGGCCGAGAGGACTCGCTCTCGCGGCAGTGCTCGGATTTGGAGGCCGGAGCACCAGAGAGGGCCAAGCCCCAAGAGGCAAAAAAGGGCCCCAAGCCTAGACTCCAGAGCAGGCGCGGCTCCTCTCCGTAGAATCCTGGAGACGCATCTTGGCAAGACTCAGCTGATGGCGGTCGCTTTGCCTGACTGAGTCTGAGGGGTCGTCCGTGAGTCGCCACACTAGCTGAACGTGGTGTTCGAAGCGCACCCTTGGAACAGGATCATGTCTGAACATTCCGGACGTCGTATCAGCAAAAGGCGTGAATGCGCAGTGATGGACGCATGCCTGGTGCTGGAAGCCACTTCGACGGAGGCGTGCTTTTTTCAAAAGGCATGCACGGGCTGAGCTTGCTTTTTCCAAGATCAGATCCCCCCATCCGAGAGTCGAACAGGCATTCCTGGCTTCGGCCGAGTGCAGCGTGGATTTGAGGCCAGAGCAGAAGCATGCCGCCGACATGGCTATCGTGTAAGCCGCTGTAAGCCCGTGAATGTGCTGAAGTGCGTTGCGCAAAGCAGTCAGCCTCCAGCTTTCCCTGCCACGTTGGTGCTTCAGCAAACGGAAGGAGTCGCACGGCCATGTGCAAAGAAAAGCCCAGCAAGCCTTCACCATGTGAAGCCGCCCGACAGCGGCGCCGCGGGACTTGCCTGCACCCCTGCGATGAGCTCCAGCATATTGCACCTGCAGCTGTGATGCGGACCATGCGGCTCCCCCGCCTGCCCCGACCGGAATGTACATCGGTTCCCGGCTCGCTTGCATCCACGTCGTACCCAAGCACCCATCGGGGAGGGTTTATCCGAAGCGATGAACCGAAATGAACGGCGCCTTGACAGAGATGTGACAAGGAGATGATGTGTCCGCAAACGCGCTGTCGCCATCGTGCAGCAGTAGATTCCTTTGGGGTCTCCCTTTAGGTGGTGAGGCATCCTCAGAAGAGGTACTTGCATGCTGATAGCAATGATGTGAACCAGACACGTGCTTCCATCATCATTGTTTTGTAAACGGGCAGCTGCTCTGTCCGAACTGGAGCACAGGCCAAGGTCTTCGTGATGAATATGCACGTCGAGAAGGTCGTGCGATTGCGTTGGAGGACCATGACAATTTCACTTTGCCTGCAGGGCACCGCAGAAGCCATCCAGCTGGCTTGAAGATCACGGTGAGGAAGTCGCACGTGGCCAAGGTCAAGGACGAGTTCAGGACTGCTCAGCTTTCGCTTGGGGCCCGGGGGGTCTCGAGAGTTTCTGATTGCCAGGCATGTGGAGGAGCCAGGCCAGATCTTCAGTGCGGCCGAGACCGTGGAGCCGCGGAAGATCACCGGATCAGTCGGTGCGGCAAAGCCGCAATCCCAAAAAGCTCGAAGGAAAATAGAGTTGACATCAGAGCATTGCACAGCATGCTTGCTGCCTCAAGATGGAAGAGTACAGTTGCCGCGACAGCGAACAGGCAGCTTCCATTCCAAGCGTCGCCGCGAGGAGCCGGGCTCCTTTGTCCCAAGCGGGAGCTCGGAGACCGAGCACTTCTCGCTTTGCTGTTCCTGAGGTGTCTCCGAGCGGTGCCAGGCAAGGGCAGGTTCAGGTTGGTCCCTTGGCAAATGACTGACCAGACCTGTCACTATTCCTGCGGCCTTGAGTCACGCGCGCAGATATGACATCGGCTGAGATGGAGAAAGGTTTAGTCCCAGAATCTTTGCACGGGCCATTGTTTAGTACGTGTCGTGTGTATGTTCGGGGCTTCACAGGGGTTGTACATCAGTGTTGCATCGCGAGTGAATACTCCGCAGTTCATGGAGAGCCATCAGAATGAAGCTCTGGAGAATGCCGAACGCATTTTGGGAGAAGACTGTTGGGCGCAGACAGGGGATGCTTCTGCCTCCGATGTTTCAGACTGGCTTGCCGTACAGCGAGGAAGAGACTTATTTTTGCCCGGTTGGGGCGGCTTCGATGTACCTGAAGCCTTTCATGCCTGTCAAGCCGCTGGTGTGAAGGGCATCCCGAGCGTCGCTGAACTGAGGAGCCTCTCGTACTATGTCAGTATGATATCGCTTCTGCTTTCTCTTTCCAGCCGGCAAAACCAATACATGCAGTATGCTTGTCCCGAAACAATATCTTCAAGACCTCTCAAGCAGTGTGAGGAGCCCCTAAATCTCCTTGAGGCTGCTGTCCGGTCTCTGCGCAGCCCCGGACTTCCCTGCATGAAAAGTTCTAAGACCGGCGTATTCTCTAGATGCAGGAAAGCACAGAGGTCAATATCTGAACCTCAGCATTCGCAGTAGAGAGTGGGGTAGTCTGAGTCGGCACCCCTGCTTTGGCTACGGTTGCCTTGCAAAGGTATACATGTTTTCCGTATTGCTGGTTGGGGCTTGTTCCGGAGCAAAGTTGAAAGCATGCTGCACATGGCTGAGGTCACGGATACTTGGCAAAATTCTTTCCTGCTCTGCCGGACAAGCTGGGAAGCAATCGCATTCAACGTTTGCTTCTGGCTCCCGAGAGCTTGCTGGCCAGATATGTCGTTCAGCACAGGTCCTTCTGGGCTTGTGGCGAACACCTTAACAGACTAGATGAAGTTGAAAGGCACTTCGATGAGATTTGCACAGGCAGCAGCGCAAAAGTGTTGAAGGAGGAGCCACGCAAGCTTCTGAATCGCCTGGCTCGTGACCAAGCTGTTGCAGATCATCCGCTAGTGCATTTCACACATCTGGCTTCGCAAATTTCAGTTGGCTTCGACGAGTCTCTTGGGCTGTGCCAAAGCGAGATGCCGTGCTTCGAGCTGTCCGTGCTTCTTGACTCACATGCTGTCGTACGAGCAGCACAGGAATTGAACAACTGCGCAGCTGACTACGTCAGGGACATCCGGCAGAAGCGATGTGCCCTTGTCGTTCTTCGATCTAAGAAGTTGCTGGCAATGGGCGAGTGGGATTTGCATTGCCGCCGTTGGTCCCAGATCTCAGAACACAGCGATGAGCCAGTTCGTCAGGAATGGCTAACTATGTTTGAGCAGATGGAGGGTGACTGGCTCTTCCCCTCGATCGCGTCATTGTGCTTGCCTGACCTGTCGGGCAGAAGCCCATTCTTGCAAGACATGTCGGAAGATGTCGTTTCAATTTTCAGCCCTGAGGGGCAAGAGTGCTTGGAGCGCATCTGCAGCACCGTGGGCGATCAGCTGCGACCCTGCCTCGGGTGGCCATCTCTTCTGCCCGCCTCTTGCAATCTGGAGGCTGCCACAGCATTGCTTATTTGGACGGTCGCCGATATTCTTTGTGTGGAAACATCGAATTCAGATGCATTGGAAGTTGTCGACACACTGCTGATGCGCCGTGCTGACCCTCAGGCCATGACGGATCAAGGATGGGCTCCCTTGATGTTCGCCGTGCTTGCTGAGCATGAAGAGCTCGCAGCCAAGCTGCTGGAGGGAGCTGCAGATGTCGACGCCAGGAGTGGACAAACGGGGAGAACGGCCTTGATGCTTGCCTGTGGCACGTGCCAAGCAAGCATGGTGAGATTGCTAATACAGGGTAAAGCAGCGGTGGACTCTGCTTCCCGGATCGATGGGCGAACTGCTTTGCTGATGGCAGCCGGCAGCTTAGTTTTTCAGGCGACTGAAGCAATGTGGACGCTTGCAGACTCTGCCTGGCTATCTGGCTCTTCATGCTCCAGGCATTCAATATCGTTCTCTAGAGCTCCAAAGCAACTTTGAGGAGAGAAGAGAGTGAAACCGCCTGCTGAACACGCCGAGGGCTACGCATGATGATCGGATTCTGTACCCTGTAGCACGCAGCGTAGCTCCCGAGCCTTCAGTTGGCATGCCGCTGCCTCCGCCTCCATGGCAAGCAGTCCTTGGAAATGGCCAAGCCTTGCACTCATGCTGGTGCAGCTTGCCGGCAGTGTTCAATGGGCGTCCCCAGCTCTTAGTCTTAGTCTTTTGTTCAACCGGCCAGCCAAGGCAAAATGCCATCACGCCCATCGTGTTCAGATACGTGCCCCACCTCGCGTTCCAGAAAAGTTTGCAATCGACATTCCGAGCTTCTGCCAAGGCTACAACGGGTGCTAGAGAAGAGGATAGATTCAGCACCGTGGTGTCCATCGGTTGCCAGGACCTGGGAGAATGCATCTGTTTTGCAATATCACCGTCACAGAGGGCCGATCACGTCGTGTTTTTTTTCTCGAGGAGGGCCTGAAACTAGTGATGTCCTTGGGCTTGGTGATCTTGGAGCATGGAGGTCTACGAGGAACGTTCAAAGCGTTGCTGGCAATAGAGTTTGGCGACTCTATCCGACTGGCTGTGCCGGCGCTTCTCTTTGTTTTCCAAAACGCAGCAAGGCTCCCAGCATTGCTCTTCCGTTCTCTTTCACCGAAGTAGAGCGAGTTCGTGACGCATTGGAGGGCCTGCCAGCAGCTGGCCCAGGCGATGCAGCTTGCCACTGTCCATCTCCCGGCAGCTCTTTTCCAAGTCTTGTGGCAGGGGAAGACGAACTTTGATCGCAAAAAGAATCCGTGTAGCTTCCGTGTACCGCCACGGCGACTGCTGCTGCTGCTGCTGCTGCTGCTGCATCTGCTGCTGCTGCTGCTGCTGCTGCCAATTCGACTACTGCTGCTGCTGCTGCTGCTACTACTACTACTATTACCACCACCACCACCACCACTACTACTACTACAACTACTACAACTACTATCTACTATCTACTATCTACTATCATC